ACTACTTCTACTACGTAACTTGTAGGTAGAAGTGCTCGATAATAGACGATAGCTCTTCTCCTACTCTGTTCTTAGCTTACCCTCGTAATACTCGTAGTAACTTTTATCTCTAAAGTTATCGCGTACCTAGAACTTCCGCTTAAGGCAGGGGGTAAGGAGGATACTAATACTGTAGTAATCGCTAAATCGATTCTAGGTATTTCGATAATATTTCTTAAGCTCAGCCTAAGTAGCCTCGTATACCTAATATACATCCTTCTTCTAAGGTATCCTCTTATTCTTAAGTCGCTTTATCGCCTCCTCTAGAATGTCGAAAAGCTAGTTATAGTATACGAGGATAAGGTAGATAGTCGGACCTTTCGTTGTTCTAATCGTTGCTATCGCCGCTACGAATAGTTTTATAAGGTCGATAAGGTACTTAACCCTTTGCTACTCTTCGGAATCGATACCTATATCTTTACTTAGGTCGAGTCGATCGATATAAGATTCGATAACTCTTTGTAGTCTGCTAAAGCGATCGAGTATTAACGTTATTAAGGACTACCTTATCTTTACGTCTTGAACGACCCTTAGGATCCGATTTTAAATGCTATTCTACCGACGGTACTTTACAAATAGCTCCTTCTTTTAAAGTATCTCTTTCTATAGGTCGATAAACTGCTCGAACCTTTAAGAGCTCGAGTTAATAAAGATACAAAGTTTCCGGATCTAGGGATTAAAATCAGCGAAGGGAATCTCGAGTGCCGACTATAATTGCCGACTATAAGAGCCGACTACACTTTAAAAATAGGAAGGTTAATAGGTAATAGGCCGTAGAGACTAATCTTACCTTTAGAAGGAGGTAAGGCATACTATTGTTAGGATCTAGACTAGACAGCGATATAGACATCTTAAGACAGACCCGGAATAGCCCGGGAGTACCTAAGATAGGCTAGAACGGGCTACTACGATTTAAGAGGGTTCAGGCTAGACCTTTACCGCCGATACCGAGTTAAGATAGTTTATAGAGAGTTAGAATAGGAGATCTTAGATCGAGATACTCTAAATCAGACCCGAGAGGCTAGAACCTCTAGGTACTCCGAAGATATACTTATAAACAG